TGTATGTGTGTGTGTATTTATATATGTATAAATATGTATGTATATATATATATATATATATATATATATATATATATATATATATATATGCATGTATCTCACAAAGAATGAGTTATCTATCTCATCACACCTGTCTGAAAAGTAGATTAAGGGGTAGTGGAGGAGCACTTGTCCAGCATGTGTGAGGCCCTAGGTTCAATATCCAGTATGGCTAGAAAATAAACTAGAGAATATATTATAAAATAGGGATTTTGCTTTCAGATTGACAAAACAAAGACTGACAATGGAAATTGGAGTTAAGGTGTAATTAATGTGAGAAAGACAGTAGATTCCAAACAGGGAGGCTTCAGCAAAGGAAGTAGCCCAGTCCTGCATCCATTAAAATCGACTATATGAGGTCCGGTCCACAGGCTGTAATCCCAGTGCTGGCTGAGGGAGGGGGATGGAGGAATTGAGGTTGCCCTGGGTTGCACAAGGGAATCCAGTTTCACTCCCTTCTCTGAACTATTGTATGTATGCATGCATTTTATGTTTCAAGCAAAAGTCAATGGTTTAAAGAATTCACCATTTAGCTGGGTAGTGGTGACTCACCTTTAATCTCAGCACTCAGGATGCAGAGGAAGGTGGATCTCTGAGAGTTCGAGGCCGGCCTGGTCTACAAAATGAGTTCCAGGACAGCCAGCACTACACAGAGAGACCCTGTTTCAAACAAACAAACAAACACCTCATTTTTACGATTCCCTCCTTTCATTGATTTTTCCTTGTTTTAAAATTAATTTATACTATTATTGGGGCAGGTATTGCTGAGATAGGGTCACATTATATATAGCCAAGGCTAGCCAGGAATTTGAGCTACTCCTGCCTAAAGTCTTGAATGCTGAGATTACAGGCTTGTAACCTGAATGTGGAGTAGATGCCACTACAGTAACCCAAACTAGATTTGAGCTCATGGCAGTCCCATTGCCTTCGCCTCCCAACTTCTGGTATTATATGCATGCACCACTTTACAACTTCAAAACACAGCTTTTGAGGTATAACTCACGGACTACAACATCCACACATTTTCAGTAAAGTTACTGAGCTATCCAACCACATAACTTCCCATCCTCCTTCTCCATCTCTCCCTTTCTTTGTTCTGTTTTTGAGAGAGGGTCATATTCTGTAGAGTAATCTGGCCCAGAACTCACTATGTAGCCCAGGCTGGTCTCAAACGCATGGCCATCCTCATGCCTCAGCTTCCTGGTGCTGGGATTTTAAACATGCACCACCATGCCCTGCTTATGAGTTGTCTCCTTGTCCATGTTTTCCTTTCATGGGTTGTTTCTGAGCTTTTGGAATGACCACAACTATGGGTAAAGTGGGATCTACAGGGCCTGAGGCATAGCTTTGCCGCAGGAGGATAGTGGGCTCTGCCTCACCTGCACAGAGAACCTGTGAACCTTTCCTCTGTCCTCAATTCCATCCATGTGGACATCTCGATAACTGATGTCACTCAATCCCCTCCAGCCCCTCCTCTCCACCCTCAGGGCTGAGACAGAGTTCCAACCCTCACAGTTGCTCACCTGGGCAATCTCAGCAACCCATGTCTCTACCTTCAAAAGGCAGCATACTTAAAAATGTTTTTAAAGACTGAATATTAAATATAAACCAAAATAGGAAGAGTAGTACTAGGAACTCCCTAAGTGCCTGTCATCCGGCTTCACTCTTGTTCCAACTCTTCTACCACTGCCTTGCACTGACCTCTTCCTGGGGGTTAGTTTGAAAATCTGTTCATTAAAAGAGCTCATTCATTCTAGAAATCTTCTTCTACAGTGGCAGATAACTCTACATCCTTTTCTCTCCCTCTCCTTCCTCCCTCTCCCAGATATCTAGCTCAGGCTGGATTCTACCTCCAAAGTGCTGGGATTACAGGTGTCTGTCACTATGCCCAGTTTATATGGCTCTAGGTATTGAACCCAGGTCCTTGAGCATACTAGACAAGATTTTACCCACTGAGCCACACCCCGAGTCCACATAAACATATTTCCTGCCAGTGATCAAGTTACCTGTCAAGTCCTCTTTTAAGGCGATCCCTGAGGTTAAGTGCAGTCTGATTTTTATTAATGATGGCGACAACCTACAGTTGTGGACCAGCAGCCTAGTCTAAGATGGCGCTGTGTCAGATTGAACTGGGCCTAACAATTCGTGTCAAACACTGCATGACAGGATTGATGATGTGTCTTCCCCAGATTAGATTACTGCTTTGGCTTCCATCTTGGGATCTTCTCTTGCTCTATGGGAAGCTGGCTGCCATGGTGAAAGCTAGCATGTAGTGAAATCTGTGTGGCAAAGACAGTGAGGACAGTGTGACAGCAACCATGTGAATGACGACCCAAGCAGGCTCTCCTTTAGCCAGGGCCTGGGATGTGACTGCAGCCCTAGCTGACATAGTTGCAGCTTCATGAGCGATTTGAACCACAGGCACCCATAGATGCCGTGAGCTACAAACCCTTGTGAGATGTTGTACTTTGAGTGTTGAATGCACCACAGAGGCTCATGTGTTTGAACACTTGGTTTCCAAAGGGTGGTGCTCTTTGGGGGAAGTTGTGGAGTCTTTAGAAGGGAATGTCTCCCTAGATGAAGCTACTAGGGTGACATTAGAAGTTTTATAGCCCTCCTCTACCTTCTGATCACTCTCTGCTTTCTGACTGTGGGGGTGATGTGACCAGATGCTTCCTACTAATGCTGCCATGATTTTCCTGACATAATGGACAGTATCCCCCAGAACTGTAAGCCCAAATAAACCCTTTCTGCTGCTCCTTTGGGTATTTTGGTCCCAACAATGAGAAAAGTAACTAACACATGGGGTGAAGTTAATACACTCTGGGGTAATTTATTACACAACAATATAGAGCTAACACAGCCAGCCCCTTTGAGCACTTAGCATGAGCACTTAGCTGTGAAGACTACTGGGTACATGTGCACTATCTCTTGAATGTCACAGCAAGAGGCTAGAGAGATGGCTCAGCAGTTTAGAGCACTGGCTCCTCTTCCACAAGACTCAGGTTCAATTCCCACTACACACATGGCAGCTTGTAACTGTCTACAGTTCCAGTTCCAGGTGATCTGGCACCCTCAAATAGACATACATGCAGGCAAAACACCAATGCACATAAAAATAAATAAATCTTAAAAAAAAGTCACAGTAGTTGGAAAAGTCAGGAACCTCACTCAGTACCAGCCAGGAAACGGCAGACCTAGTATTCACACACAGATGGGTTCATACAAGCAATCACTCTTCCAGCTGCATCAGGCCAAGGGCCTGGCACCAAGTAGGCATCCTGTAACTGCCAGCTGAGCTGTGTTGGCATGTGTGTCTGGTGGGATAGACTGAATGGAGATAACTCCAAAGGGTGTGGTCAAGAATGGCTCAGCGCCAGCCCTCCCAGAATGGGCTTGCACCCCTTCCTAGTGGTACAAAGAGCCTTTCACAGACAGACAGCCTCTACCACCGAGGCAGGAAATGTGACAGACCATCAAGCAGGAAGGCAAGGTGGCTCTGATGAAGAGGCCCTGGATCCTGTTCTTTGGTAATTTACAATCCCCTGTAACAACACCTGACAGTAACACTCCATGGTGGATTCATGGGGAGATGCTCAACCTCTGTGTCAGTGAATTTGAGGTGGGGGGGGCAGGCAGACCTTTCTGACTTCCCAGCCTCTATTCATTAAGGTCAGAGGCAAAGGAAGCCAACCACACACTACTTACAAAATGTGTTAGTGAAAGAAAAATGTCCCAGGACAGAGCTGGCTTCCAAGCCCGAAGCTCATAGTGGTGACATAAAGGCCTGGCTCTTCCTGAGCCATGGGAGAGACCCTGCATCTTACCTCATTCTCTGTCCTGGGTGGGACATTTTCTAATAAATCTATGCCGTTCACAACAACACTCTTCTTTTCTCGGATGGGGGCTTTAAACACCACTTTTGAAGACTTCTTATAGCCTTCCTTCAAAGACATCAGCACAGGATCTAGGAAGGCAAGGGAGACAGTGTCATATGACAGAGAGGACTATAGAGTGAGGGAGCCTCATTGCTTTGAGCTGGCTGTGTGGGAGGGAGGGGACCTCTAGACAGGGGATCATGGAGGAGGCCAGGAGAGCTAGGGAGTGGCAAAGCTTGCAGCCCCTTGGCTCTTCTGTGGCGCCTGTCTGCTGAGGTACCTCGGTTGATGCCTCCCAGCCATTCATCCGGGGTCAGAGCTGGCTCCGTGCCTGGTGTCATGGGATAAATGTCTTCCTGGTAGGAATCTGACTGCATGAAGGAGGGAGCAGAGAAAGGATATCTGGGAACTGCTGAGAGAGCCCTGGCCATCCAGCAAGTCACACTCCTGCATTGTCATTGCCCTCCTGATGCCTCCCATCTAGAACTGTCCCCTTTCATGCAAATCAACCATCCCCACCCAAGAGTGTCCTCCACCCTCTACCCCAGAAGGAGCCTGAATATTCTAGTCCACGACACCTCTTTTATCTTGGTCCCTCTTGGCTTCTGGTTATTAAGATTCAGCATGGGGCCCTTTGCAGCCCAGCCCGGCTTCCACTCACCCTCCGGGGCACAATCATGGAGATGGGTTCAATGAGGCCCTTGAGTGTCACCAGCTTGTAGAAGCGGAACACTTCACAGGCAGACACATCCAACCCATGCTTGGGCATGACGCCTACGGAGAGATGTATGGCTTTATGGGGAATCTCTCCATCCTTGCTCACTGCCTGATATTCTCAGGAAGAAAGCAGGCTGTAGTTTGGGGGCAATGATCCATCCAGAGGACAGAGGGTGGCTATGATGTCTTGAGTCTGCCTCTGACTCTAGTTGGTCACTTCTTTTTGGGGGTGGGGTGGGGTGGGCAGAGGCAAGGTCACATATCTCAGGCTGGCCTCAAACTCAACACACAAAGTTATAGCAAGGCTTCAGGGCCCAGCACCTACTGGGATGATCTGTCTTCCATAAGCTCTATGTGTCAGTCTGTAGAGAACAAAAAGGAGGGCAAAGCCCGTCCCCGACTCATCCAGAGGCTTCAGTACAGCCCAAGAGAGGGCTTCCTTTGGTTATTTTCTAGAACCAACGGTACATGTGTGTATATGTTGTCTAGTATGTGTGTGTTTCACTAGCCACAATGTTCCTAGAAGCTTTATCTCCTGAACAGGACAGCTAAGGCAGGGCAGCATGATGCTAAGAGCTCAGCCTAGGGTTCCACAAATTGGGTTTGACCTGGGACTCTGTCTTTTTCCAAGGACACAGGAGTCCTCGGGTGGGTAGAAATAGCTCATGTGAGGTCATTGGAGAATGAAGCACAAAAGGCGATTGGCACCTGTCTGGCAACATGCCAAGTGTAGGCAGCACGTGTGTCTTTCCTATGATGTGAGTGTGAGTGAGGGCTCTAGGTCTTTTCCACTGGAATGGAAGCTGCTCTTCCAAACAATTCTAGAATGTTCTCCCTTCCACCTAGCTCTCCTCCTCTCCTTTTCTTCATTGAGATAGGGTCTCGCTTCACAGCTCCTGGTCTGATCTTGAATTCAGTCTCCTGCTTCCCTCTTTGAGTGTTGGGATCCAAGGGAAATGGCGGAATTTCTGCTTGCTCTGCTGGGCCAGGCCAGGGTTGCAGCTTGGGGCTGGAGTCCTGGCTCAGAGCCCCTGAGTCACCATGTGAGCCCTACTGTGGAGTGAGTCTCTCCATCTACATTTGAGGAAGAAGACACAGAGCCCGTGTCCCACAGGCTGCTGCTGGGCAGAGATGGCTAAGTCGGTGCCATGAGTGACAGGCTGGCTACAGGGGCAGCTGAGTGACTGAAGCAGCAGCTGTGGTTCCCACCCACCCATTGAGCATGGCTTTGGAGCCTGACTACTGTGTAAAGGGGAGTGATGCACAAGCCAACACCATCTCCTGTTCTGCACATAGCAGCCCCGCAGCCTCTTGAATGCTGAGATCCTAGAAAATCTCTGGGTCCTTACCTAGGCCTTTCTGTGGGGCTGGGGAGCGGAACTCCATGAGGTAGCTCAGGTAGGGCTTCTCCGTGCTGATCTCATAGTACCTGATGTTTCCATCCCCCTGAGGGTAGCAGAGAGGCAATGAGGATGGAGGGCAGGGTCCAGCAAACCTGACCCCAGGGGGCTATAGAAGACAGCTGCCCTTGTGCCTTAGAGGTGGCCAGGGAATCAAGGAGAACTGTACTTTAGACCTTGGTAGCTCTACTGGCTGCAGGGGTGGAGATGGGATGGTGTATATGTGGTGTGTGTGTGTAAGTGTGATCACAGTGTATGTCTGTATGGCGTGTGAGATTTGAGTGATATGTGTGCAGTGTATGTGTGTGACACGTGTGCCGTGTGGTATATTTGTATAGTGTGTGTATATACTGTGATGTATGGTGTGATGTGTGGTTTGTGTACATTGTGGTATTTATGCATAGTCTGTGTGGCATGTGTATAGGGTGGGGTGTGTAGCATATATTGCGGTATGTATGTATGGAATGTATGTGGTATGTACACTGTATGTGCAGAGTGGTGTGTGTATGTGATATGTATGGTGTGGGTGGTTTTTTTATCATGTGTATACAGCCTTTCCTACCAGGCCATATTCAAAGTTCTCCTAACAGGTGTTTCACCTTCTGCCATGTCAGGGTTAGATGTTTAATCCTCCACTCCAGCTTGTCCTGTAAGGAGTTCTAAGTCACTGACACTTCAGTAAGCATGAGAGAGGTATAGATAGAAGTGGTGAGAGCCAGGGGCAGGGCTTGGCTTTCTTAGGGGTAAGGCAAGAGTGATGTTCTAATGGGGACTGGCGTCTCCCACTAGTTGACAGTCCTCCCTCACCCCACTACCTTTCCAGCCAGGTAGAGCATGTGGGTGTCAGCATCATAGAACGGGAACAGGAGTCCTGAGAGTCCATCAATTTCTTCCTCGATCATTGGCATGGACAGATCCTCCTGTAGGGAGGTGGTGTGGGTCAGTTTGCATTTAGAAGGAGGGAACAGCTCCCCCACATCCCAGCACAGCCAACAGAGCTACAGCCCCCTTTTGAAGACCCCCCAGGATGCTGAAAAGACATGGGCTGGAAGAAAGGCTGTGAGCATCTTGCAGGTGGGCCAGGCATTGTGTGGAAGCCTTTCTGGCCCCAGGCTCCATCTCCTGAGGTCTCTGTCTGATCCTGGTTGCCGATTCCATCAGAGGCTGGCTGTGTCAGCAGGGACCTGGCTTCCTGAGAAAGTGCCTCCTTTAGCCCAAACACAGTTGGCCACTCCTGCTTCTCACCTTATGGCCTTCAAGCCCACCCCCACTTCAACCCGTCTGAGCCATGGGCAGCTCTCCTCAGAACACAGCCAGTATGCAACAGGAAGGACCTGACAATGGCTTTCTGTCCTCTGTGTAGCTGAGAACAGATATGGGCCTGTCCTCAAGCCACACAAAGGGTTTGGCATTCACGTCAGCACTCACTACTGACCCCAGGCCTGGGTGCTGGCCTGTTAGACTGCTCTGGTGGGGGTGAGTGGGTGAGAGGACAGGGAAGGAGATTACACAGGGGTGCCCACCACCCTACAGACCCAGCAGGAGACCAGCCAGGCCTGCTGGAGGGTACAACTAGAATATAGGCTTAGATACATGCCAGTGGGCATGCAGCTGGGGCAGTAGAGCCAAATGGAGCTCCTGTTTGTAAGGTGAAAATGATGACCCAGTTGCTTGGGGACTCTGGGGACCCCAGAACATGTTGTAGGTGCATATTTAAATGTATGCTCATGTCCAGGGTTTGTGAGCACCATGTAAGCTCCACCTAAGGCAGCCCTGTCCGGTCCACTCTTTACACAGCATGGGCCAGAGTTAAGACCTTTGGAAGCACTACTTCTTGGTCCCTCCCTCCACATGGGCCTCATTCCAGCCCTTTTCTTTTCTAGTATATTCTCCCTCCACCTGCATGAAGGCCCCAGGCACCCAGATCATGGACCTCTACTCTTGACCCATTTGGGAATTAGAGGTCCCAGGAGCTCAGATCTAGGCTGGCTGCCCCTCCTTGCCTTCCTGCTGGCATCCCTGTGGCTGACCTGGTCCCAGAGGGCGATTTGTCTCGTGTTCCACCTGGAGACCCCTGTCGTGAGGAGCCGCTTCATGTTGCCCAGGAACACTACCCGATTCACTCTGTGGTTTTTGCAGTTTGCCTCCTGGTGGGGACAGAGATCATAGGTGAGCCGGGACCCTCAACATGTGGTCCTATGGAGAGTTGAGTGGAATGGCAGTTCCCCAAGAAACTCATGGAATCAGGAAGCAAGGGCTCTGCATTACCCAGAGCAGAGGAAACAGGGGAAAGCTAGGTTAACCTTCACTAACCTCCTCAGAGGCCTGTATCAAGTACTGTCACTAAGTGTCACCATGGCATTTCTTTTAATCCACACATCTCCTAGAAAGAGTCATCCCCATCTTCCTGTCTCTGTCTTCAAGTGTTGGAGGCCAAACCCAGGGCTTTGGGCATGGAGCGCCAGCTCCCTATCAACCTCTCCCTCTTAACCAAGTATTCTTCCATCCCCTGTCCTGCCCATCCATATTTTTCATCCCCCAGAGCTGTATGGTTGCCATGTGGTAAGGACTCAAGAAACTGCCATGGGTTATTCCCAAATAGCACTCAATCCTTTTAAACTGAGACTCAGGGACTAACCTCACCACAAGGCTCCCCATGTGGAGCCATCTGTGGACCTGGAATCATGTGCCACTTGCCCCAGGATCATCCTGTGCAGGTGGCTGGTCAGTAAGTCCAAAGTCCCCTCCCTCTGTACCAATGATGAGACTTGATTAACCCCTGAGACTCAGGGACAGAAGGCCCATTGCAGTAGGCTGAAGAATCCCAATTAGAGGAGATATCACTGTGGCAGGAAAGAGTCCTCTGTCTCCTTCCTGCCCATAACAAGTCAGAGTCCCTATAGGCTGAGGACGGCCCTAAGCCTACAGGCTGAGCAGCAGGTGTGGGTGAGGTGCATGAGCAGGGTCCCAGCACACCCCCTTTCCTCTACAGACTCCAACACCTCCTCCCCCTCAACAAAATGCAGAGCTCCACCTGCAGAACACGACCGGAGCGGGGTTCAATTACACGAAGCTTCTTGTCCTTGCATGTGGTGGTGAGCAGGCTGCCATCCGTATTGAAGGACATGCAGAGGATCACGTCTGTGTGGCAGTCAATCATTTTCACTGGCTCACCTATGTCCAGGTTCCAGATGAGGACCTGTGAAGGCAGACATGCAGGAGGTCCCGGTCCTGTCCTCCATCCTCACCAACAGACCCTGGCAGGGGCTGTCTGCATGCGGCCTGGGCTATGTTGGGATGCAGGCACACTGTCAAGGGTTCTGTACAGAGAGGCAGATGCATCTCAACTACACACTTGGATGTTCATGTTGAGCATCACCCTAACAGGATCTCAAAGACAATGCTCTGGGCATGTCGGTGAGGGAGTCTTTGGTCCGGGTTAGCTGAGGTGGGAAGACCTACCTCACGTGGACAGCACCACTCCGTGGGCTACAGTTGAATTAAAAAGGGGAAAGCTCCATAAGCACCAGCATTCCTCTCTCTAACCACAGATGCAGTGGGACCAGCTGCCTCATGCTCCTGCCATCATGGCAGACTATACCCTCCAACTGTGAGCCGAAACAATCCCTTCCTTAAATTGCTTCTTGTTGGGTATTCGGTCACAACATCCAGAAAAGTAACCAATATACACCCACTGATAGCCCCCAACAAGTACCAGTCTTTTGTTTGCTTGTTTGTTTTTGTTTTTTCAAGACAGGGTTTCTCTGGGGCTTTGGAGGCTTGTCCTGGAACTAGCTCTTGTAGACCAGGCTGGTCTCGAACTCACGGAGATCTACCTGCCTCTGCCTCCCGAGTGCTGGGACTAAAGGCGTGTGCCACCAACGCCCGGCAAGTACCAGTCTTCACTTGGTTTCTTCAAAAAACAAGGAGAGACATTCCATGACTGGCCCCAGATGGCTGGCATGATAGGATTTGGAGCTACAACTTCCCCCTGTACTCCTGTAGCTTGGATTGCTCATTTTTCCTACCAGGATACATGGTCATCTCTTGGTTAGGAAGTTACCCGGCAAAGGATATGGGCATTCTCTTCCAGTCCACAAAACTCCAGAGAAGACAGGAAAGATGCCTTAGGCCCCCATTTCCCACAGGAAACAAACTGTGCACAGGAGATGCTCAGTCTTTTGCAGAGAATGAATGAGCGATGGAGTGAGTGACTGAACGAATGGACCCACACCAGTCAACAAGCTTAGACTATCCCTCCCCACCCAGCCAGCTCTAACCAGGCTGCCCCACACCCAGGATCCACACCTTGTAGTCATATCCAGCACTGAACAGAATGTTGTTGGTCGTGGGGTGCCACTCAACCAGCCCCACACGACGGCTGTGTCCGTGGAGCTCCAGGAGAGCCTCAGTCATGTTCCGCTTCAGCCCACCCTCAGGAATCTCCCAGATCCGCACCTGAAGAGGAAAGAGTCTGGGCATTAGCTGAATGGTCAAGGGTAGGGAGTGCCACAGATGGCCCTGTTTCTAAGTTGTGCTGAGGGTAGTACCTACTGGCTCAGGGAAGTGGGCAGAAACCTTGGGGAAGGCCCTAGTGTTAGAGCTGGCTGGAGAGTGTCCCTCTTTGGCCTCAGGTGTTCTCTGTCACGTATCCTCAGACAACGAACAGTGTTTTCATCTTTTTATTTTGGACAGGACCTAATGTAGCTCAGGCCGGTCGTACTATGTATCTCAAAATGACCTGAAACTTCTGATCCTGCCCCCACCTCCAGAGTGTTGAGATTGCAGGAGCATGCCACCATGCCTAGTTGTTGTACGGGTTGCTGGGGATTGAACTCAGGGTTTCATGCATGCCAGACAAGTACTCTATCAATAAAGTCACATCTCCAGCCCCCAGCATGCTATTCTCCTCCTGCCAAACTCAGACTATCATAGCAGCTTTTAGCAAGCACCAAATTAAAAATCTGACTTTGTTTCCTCCCAGCAATCCCCTAAGAAAATCTGCCTCTCCTTCTTCTTTCCCAGTTACTCTATGTGTGTTTCATGGTGGGTCCCCTATTCTGTCCCTGACCCTGGAGGGACATTTGGGCAGAGGGAGACTCTGGTCTGCGCTAGGAGACAATGGTCAGGCCTGAGCCTGGATGATGGAGCTGCTGTTTGCAGTCTGGTGGATACCATGCAGCAGGAAAGGGTGGTCTGTGGAGAGAAGGATGGGCCAAGAATGGTCCAGGTGGAGAGTGACAGAGAAGAGCACACACAGCTACAGAGAGGCACTGATACCTGTCCCAGTGGGCTTCGGTGGCTCCATCCAAGCATGCTTTTCAATTTTTGCCAGTGTGTGTGCATGTGTGTTGGATGGGGTGGGGATGGGGAGATGGAGGGTGGGCGATGGGAGGGTGTCCTTGCCCTAGCCTTGCCTGGTTTACTGGGATGTAAAATGAGATAGTGGTGGCAATGTTTATCAGCTATAAGGTGTTGTATGGCTACAGAATTAAGATAAGAAGCGGGTCCTTCCTTCCTTCCCTTCTTTCATTTGTTCATTTTTTCAGTGGTTCTGGGGTTTGAGCTCAGGGCCTCCTCACTCATACAGTATAACCATGTAATTGTTCTTGTTTTTATCATTGCTAATATTATTTCCTGGAGTGTAACCAGCTGGAGAGGAAAGATCATACCTGACAACAACTCTGGGCACCTTTATTTTTATTTATGTGTGTGTGTGTGTGTGTGTGTGTGTGTGTGTGTGAGTGTGAGTGTGCACATGCACGTGTGAGTGTGTGTGTGTGTGTGTGTGTGTGATTATGTGTAGGTATGTGTGATATGCTTGCGAGTGTGGGCACACCTTTGCCAAAGTGTGCATATGGAGATCAGAGGATAAATCTGAGGAATCATTTCTCTCCTTCACTGTAGGACTGGGGCTGGAACTCAGGTCCTTGGGCTTGCTCAACAAGTGTTTTTACTAACTGAGCCATCTCACTGGCCCTTGGGTACCTTTAAAACAATCCCCTTTCAAAACTTAACCCTCACCTTGTGAGTAAGAAGGAAACATCGGGGGGGGGGGGAACTTTGAGATATAATTTAAAGTTGGTTAGAATAGGCAACTAGGGGAAAAAGGTGTGTGGTGGGGAAGTTTGGCAAGATTTTGCTAGAATGCCCAGAAACTGTGAGTATGGATGGTATTATAAATTGGAGGGCCTCTTCTGGATGCCACTTGGAAGTCTTTAGGAAGGCCACTAAGACATTTATATGATACTTGAAAATATTTTTTGAGGGGAGTATATTAAACATCTTAATGTGATTAACTTCAGGATGGGCAAATACATACATACATACATACATATACTACCTATTCTTTTTTCTACTCTGCTAATTCAAATTAAAAACAAATTTATTACTGGGCGGTGGTGTCATATGCCTTTAATCCCAGCACTCAGGAGGTAGAGGCAGGTGGATCTCTCTTGTGTTTGAGACCAGCCTGGTCTACAAAGCAAGTTCTAGGACAGGCTCCAAAGCCACACAGAAAAACCCTGTCTCAAAAAACCAAATCCAAAACTACCTATCTGTCTGTCATCTATCTATCTATCTATCTATCTATCTATCTATCTATCTATCTATCTTATAATCTAGCTACAGTTTCTCCACCCCTCTCTCCTCCTAGTTCCTTCCTCCCACTCCCTCTGTTCCACCTCCCAGTCCATTTCTCTTCCATTTCTGATTAGAATAGGGCAGGTCTCCCATGAGTATCAACAAAACATGGCATATCAAGTTTCAGTAAGACTAAGCACCTCCCTATGTATTAAGGCTGGGCAAGGTGACCTAGTATGAGAATAATATTTTATTTTTAAAATATATTTATTTTATTTTAAATTGTCTGTCTCTGGGTGTCTGTGAATATGTGTCTATGTATGCATGTCTTTGTGTGTCTGTGAATGTGTATCTATGTGTGTATGTATGTATGTATGTATGTATGTATGTATGTGTGTATATATGTGCCTGTGTATGTATGTACACTTGAGTGCAGTGCTCAAGGAGGCCAGAAGAGGATACTGGATCAGCTGGAGCTGGACTTGCACCATCTGATATGAGTGCTAGGAATCAAACTTGGATCATCTGGAAGATCCAACTAGTCCTCAGGTCATTTGGGGAAGTTTAGGAGGTGTGGCCTTGTTGGAGGAAGTATGCTATTGGAGGTGGGTTTTGAGTCTCTAAAGACTCTCTATTTCCAGTTGACTCTCTTCTTCATGCTTATGGTAAAGGAGATGAACCCTCAGATTCCTGCTGCTGTGCCTTCCTGCCATGATGGACTCTTATCCCTCTGGAACATAAGTCCAAATAAACTCTTCTATATGTTGTCTTGGTTGTGGTGCTTTCTCACAGCAACAGAGAAGTAGCTAATATCCCTAGGAAGGCATGCAGATATTCCCTATGATATCACCTAGACAGAATCCAAGTGACTAACATTAGTGGAACAACTTTATATGTGATGTCAATATGTCACATTAGCCATTTATTATAATCCTGAAGGCTAGACCACCACAGAAATCAACTTGAATGAAGCCAAAGGCAGACCCCAGTTCCAGAAGGAAGGCTGGAATTGGGGTGCTTGAAGGGAACTCCTTTGCCAAGTTTCTTGACCAATAGGGTGCATCTTCCTCAGACTATGAAAACAAGGACTTCCCCCGCAAAGCCCCTATAACTCATCTATCGCCTTGGTAAGAAAGAAAGCTTTTCCATGGAGGACTTGAGGTCACCATTCTCGGTTTGGAAATCCCCTTGGTGGCTCTAGAAAAAACCCAGTGCCCACCACCACTTGCTAGTGTGTAGGAGTAACTGAAGAGGGCCCTGGCATGACAGGCCTGTTTGCAAGGACTTTGGAATCGGGACTAGTTTAGAAATAATGGGGTCAGTGGAGTCAGGATGATGACCAGGAAGAGACACATTCCTTTTGTCCCCAAAATGTATTACAAGAAGGTGACTTTTGAATTGAGAAGATTAGACATGTGTATTACACACACACACACACACACACACACACACACACACACACACACTTTCTTCTTTTGTCCCCAAAGGCTACTACTATTCATGTTTCTCAACTTTATTTTTCTCATGTGACTGACTGCAGCTAGTGAATGTCTTTGCGTACTGTTATGCACAGATATACCATATATACACATCTATGTATAAGCATATATAAATATAAATATATATATATATGTGTTGTGTGTGTGTGTGTGCGCGCGCGCGCGCTTGCATGTGTAATGTGAATGCATACACATTCACATGTTCTTTTGCATGAGCTCGTGTGCACTGGGGTGGAAAGTTGAGGCATGGCCTCTGCCCAGGGTCCAGCCCCACTCACTAGCTGAGTGACACTAGATGAGCCCTTAACCCCCAGAGGTTCTGGCTCTTGGTCTAGAAAACAGAGAGACCTGTGTGCCTTGTGGAGGCTTGTGGGTTCAGAGTCATGTGAACTGATGTGTTAAAGTGGCTGCTGGGCTGTACCCAGGCAACATAAGGGAAGTAGGACCCCAGCTCCAGCCCCGGAAAAGGACTTAAGCGAGAGAGAGAGAGAGAGAGAGAGAGAGAGAGAGAGAGAGAGAGAGAGAGAGAGATACAGGTGGATGGCAGCACTTATTAAATGTAGGATCCCAAGCAGGGTTTGGGTGACCAGGGAGAATAAAAACCCAAAGTCTCTATTTAATACTTGGCAGTTCCCCTCCTGGGCCCAGCTTCCTCATCTACATATGAAGCCAAGTTAGTTGATCTCCCAGACTTCTCTGACATCGCTGAGTGAACATTGCCTGTGGGAAGAAACCACTCAGCTTGACCCACAGGAAAAAGTTGGCACCAGATACTTAAAAAAGCTGAAGAGGAGGTGCTGTTCACAGTGGGCTTGGAACACCCAGAAGGGAACTCTGGTCCCTTAGAATGCATGGAATTTGCTGGAAACAAAGTGTATCTGGGATGTGGGAGGAGCACTGTGGTCTACTCAGAGGGTGTGCTGGGAGTTTACTCCAATAAAACAGGAAACCCAAGAGTCTGCCAAACAGGATTTGGGGAAGGAAGGGGTGGAGAGAAGCGTGGAGAGTGCTTCTCCAGCAAGCCAGCTGTGCCCCCAATGGTCCCCTTCCAGCCCAGAGCCAGGGTCTTGTCACACTTATTCACATTTAATCCATTATCTAAGGGGAGAGGGTGTCTTGACTCCCAGGGGCTCAGAGTCTTCTGCAAAATAGCAGACATACGCAAAAAAGTGAGCACAAGATCAGCACATTACGGACAGTAGATAAAGCCTCAAAACCAGTGTCTGCATGGGTGTGGACAGGGCAGCTAGCCAGCAGAGCTCTCACAAGCTCCCTGTAAATCCAGGCTCTGACCTCAGCCACTGTGTCGATAGCCAAGTTTCTTAGAGCTTTCTGAACATGTTCTCTTGGTTGAAGAGCAACTCTACCTACCTGTGC